TAGGCAAGATGAAAAAGAGAAAATGTTCAGTAAACAAATGTTAGCTGGTCCATTCAAAAACAATGGGATATGAAGAGGAATTTTAATAAACAGACTTTTCTCCTCCCTGTCCACCTCCCCAGCTAGTTTCGTAAAACCTTTTATAAAAACTCATTGCGGGTGGCTCCAGCAGTCTCTAAGTTGAATCACTGTATTACATCAGTGACGGCCATCCTAATACGATACTAAATACAATGCCATCATGAGTCTCCCAGGTTCTAATGGTCCCTGCCCTGGATCATGTAATGTGCACCTGACAGCACTAACAAGCAATGCCCTGAGATCCTAACCGACACCATCAGTCTAACCACGGTCATGAAATGGACAGTGTTATCAGGCAAGAAGGCAGATGGAAAAGTCAGCAAGGAAAAGAGAAAGGAGTTGCCATGTTCCAGAGAAGTCTGTTATTACCCAGACACCACCCTCAGCTCACTCAGCAGGAACCTAATTTAAGAGGATGGAATTCTAGGGTTTCTTCATGCTGGTGGGACCGGGATTCTCCACTATGCAGGCTGTCTCCTCTCTTGGTGAATGGGAGCTGAAAGAGCCTTCTCTTCATCTGCAGGTATTTTCCTGAGAACACTTTGCTTTGACATCCTTACTTTAACTTTCCATTTCTCTCTGACTGCTGTGTTCCTTGCACCCACTAGACTTTGTCAAGGGAGATAGTTTCACCCTCTCATGAGCAGAATCTCTGATGTTTATAATAAACACCTCTTTAAGACTTATTGTCCAGCTAACAATTCCAGCTTTTCTCAGTATTTCTCTAGTCCAGGAAGATCCCGAGTCTTTTGTAGCAGGCATTGCACTGGTTTCATGCCTGTGTTCTCAAAGAAGATGAAATAAATGAGAAGAGAATAGGTATTTGCCAAATGTGTCTCTTTATCAAATGTGTCACTCCTCAGATCTGGAAACACTGAAGCATTAGTTAGCTTGGCTTCTGGAATGGGGGCCCAAATATCCCTCTCAGAGGACTCTTGACTGAAGCAGCTGACTGTGACACTATGTTCTTTTAAGGAATGTGTCAGGCTCTCTCCCAACACTGGTGGACAAACCTGGCAAAAGAAGGGGTACCTAGAGGATTGAGCACTTGTGCATGATCCCCCATGCCTGCATCCTGAGCCATGAATTGCTCCTGTGTCTAGTGTTGGATCCAGAGGTGCCGTGGAACTTCTGCCCATCCGTTGTCCCTCACAGAGCTGGCCCTGTGCTGCCACCCCCTCTGCTGGGCCTTCACTGGCACTGAGCAGCAGAGGGTCCTGAGTCAACCTACCTCAGTTCCGGAGAAGACCTGTCCCAGCTGTGTGTGGAGTCTATTCCTCTGGCTGAACACCACAGGCTGTCCTTTCTCCTTCCCATTATATGTAAATCATATGACACCAAACCCAAGATCTTCCTTCTATAGTTGAAACAACTGAGCTAGCCTTGTTCTCTTGCCTAGTTCTATTACATTCTGATGTGTGTGGCCTTGTCTTTTTCTCTATGCAAACATATTGTTTAGTAAGTATTTTTATCTATAGCACCTCACCACAGTGGGAGGTAGAGGAAAACAATATACATCCTGGTAGTTTTCCCTTTTGTGCAACAGCATAAAAGATCCACTGCCAAAGTGGACCTACGCAAGGTTCTCCGTGCCACGCGTGGACACCCTGACTCACTCACACACAGGACACTCTCCTGTTTTCCTGCAAGTGCCAATCAAGGGTCAGTGCTCGTCACAGAGGGACACAGCTCTGACCTCTGTTGGTCACAATTGCCTTCTGTGCTCCTTCTGTGTTTGCTCCTTGCTGTCAGCTGAACTAGACGTGTGGTTGGCCACGAGGTGTTACTTCAGAGTCACGAAGGAAAGCCATGAGAGATGTAACTATAGAAATAGTAGATTGTCTGAGGCTGCAGGTGTCATTACGGCTAAGCCTGTGAGGTCAAGTAAAGCACAAACTCTTTACGTGATAAGACAATGTCCCCATGGTCTTGGCCCTGTGAAGCTAGAAGTGAACAATTAGGGAAAGAGAGACAGAAGGAAAGAAAGAGGGGAGGAAAGAAGGAATGGAGAGAGGGAATAAGGGAGGGAAAACGATTGGGGGGCAAGGGAATCCTCCGGCCAAAATAACACACAAAACACAGTACTTTGCTTTGAAGGAGAGGGCCTTGGGATTCTTGCAGAGCCTATGAACACTTAGTTTTCATTACTAGCCACAGTTGTTTGTACAGTATCTTAGTAAGTGAAAGGGGTGTGGGTGGGAAAGAAATGGTTAGCCATCGGATATACTTGGAAAAGGGGCAAAAGTTTGCCCACAACCTCAGGTGCTTCCCCGAACCTTGAGACTTTCTTCAGCTAATACCCATGGCTCAGAGGCAAAAACGTTTTTTGTTTTTTTAATTAAAAACATTTAAAAACAAAGAGAGAACAGAAGGTAAAATACTAAAATGAAAAATTGATCATTTTTGGTAGCTTAGCAAAAATAAGTCAATGAAAAACATTCAGGAAATGAAGTTTATATTAGAGAAATAAAAGGAATGTGAAAAGGATAATATGCAGATAGTAAAACAAACTGACAAAAGGAGCTAGATTATGAGCCCAGTGAGATCTGAGACCATACTGGCTCATGCTTACAGCACAGTTCCCAGAACACAATACTTGCTGAATAAATGCATACACATTAATTTTTGAGCTGTAGTTAAATCTGAAGGAGCATCAGTTACTTTAGCTATAGTTTTTTTTCCTTGATAGGAGAAAAAACTAAGAAACTAAGCTAAGAATATAAATATGGAAAGTTAAAGGAAAAATAGGGTCTGAAACCAGAGGGAGAGAGGAAGGAGGGAAAGGAAGGGGTATGGGGAGAGAGGCCGATCTGCCCTAGAACCGGGAGGAAACCCTGAAGGTAAACATCATACTTCACAGCCATGACAATTGGTCAAATAAACCTAAGGGGTTAATTAAGTGACAGAATATGCATAATGCAAATCAAAAGAAAATGAACACAGATAGGAGGGGACAGACGGAAGAGGAAAAGCTTCCGCTAGGCATTCCTGTAACGCAGGTCTCTAAGTGTCTTCCCTGTAGGCACTTGCAGGATGTCTCTTTGAATCCTGGCTCTCACACTTCTACGCGGCATTCTGGGTAATCACCTTAACCTTTCTGAAGGAGCATCAGCTACTTTAGCTGTAGAATTGCGATAGAAATGGATCCTCTTACAGCTGCTGTGAAGACTACAGAAGGTAATGAAGGGAAAGTGCTGAACACAGTGTCGGCACCTAGGAAAACCTCAGCAAATGGTAGTGATGATTTTCCTATTGCACACTCCACCTAGGTCCACCTGCAGCCGCCCTTAAAAACGAAGTCATGGTGAAGCTTAGCTTTGACACCTTTAGCCACATGTTTTATCAGAAATGGACTCCTATCCCTAAGCCCAAGCAGCCACCAGCAATCAGTAGGACAGACAGGCTGGCCCGCTTGCTGACCAACAGCAAACTTCTCTTAGTAGCTTCATGTCAAATCAGACATATCCCATATTACCATACAGAACTGTTTGTACAGATTGCTGAGTTGTAAGGATAGCTACTAACTGATGCTAGTACCATCCACTGAGAGTGTATTGTAAGTTTAACACTGTACTAGGTATTTTTGTTCCCTTATAAAAGGATGTGTAGAGAACCAGGACCTTAAACCACCCTCTGACCTCAGTTCAAGTTCTTCTCTTCCCTCACTGACTTCTCAGCTGTCAAACTTATCAAAACTACCGTGGGTCTTCCTGTTTCTCAACCCAGAATACACATTTGAATTATCTAGAGATCTTTTAAAAAACACCTAAGCCCAGGCCACTCCACTCCTGGTTGATGATTATGATGCACAGCAATGGCAAAATAAAAAAATTCAGTGCTGTTAGCCATGTCTTCTCTGCCCAAAGACTTACATTTATTCCTGTAGCCCTCTCCTTCAAAGTACACAACTTTGTCAATTATTTTGGGCAGAGGATTCTGTTTTCTACTACTTTCTATTTCCATCTTTCCTCCCTCCCTCCCTCCCTCCCTCCCTCCCTCTCACTCTTTTTAACATCTGACTTCATAGGACTAAGGCTATGGGAAGACTGTATTTGTCCTATTAAATGAAGAGTCTGCCGTTCTGACATACTGACTCTCTGTAAAGGGGTGTGTGGTTCTTCTCCAACACCGCCTCCCTCTCCTTTCGGCAAGTATTCTGACTTGCAGATGCATATCCTCTGCCTCGAATCAAATGTGATTGCTGAGAACAGACCACCCCACTTGTAAGCTTGGGTCACTTGGATCAGGCTGGCGCTAATCCACAGACCCTTGCTGAAGTTACTGGTTCATAGGCAAAAAAGCAGCACAATACGGGTAAGCGCACTTCTGAAGAGACCCTGACTCCATCCTTGGACTCTGGGATCTGCAGCCACCTTTTGACCACATGGGGCAGCCTGCTATATAGAATGAAGTGGATTCCAGAGAAAACAAAAATGAGAAATGGAAAGAATCATGGTCTTTCATGACAGCTCTGAGTCACTGAATTAAACCAAATGAAACCTACTGCACTTCTGGCAGTGCAGTGAGCCAGTAAATTTCCTTTAGTGTTTAAGCTAGTTTGAGTCAGGTTTTCTCTTATTTGCAACCAATGCACCTTGAAAGATCCACTGTGCATTTTCTAGGGAAGGGAATGCATCTTTTAAATCAAATTACATTTGAACAAGCTAGTAGAGTGCTAAAAACAACATATTCAAGTTTTAAATACTTTTGCTATTATATTTAGCAGCTATTACCATGCTATTTAGCTTCAGGGTTTTTTTTTGCAAGAAATGTGGCAAGCTGTGTAAGTCAGTTGATTCTGTAATTACAGGAGGAGGCATCAGTATGCTATAATTGTTACTCTATTCTATAGCATGGGGTTAACAACAGATGAACAAGAAAGATAGTATTTGGCAAATAAAACATACAGTAAAACAATGTACATAATAGAGCACTGATTTTATTGATGGCAGAAGAAAAAATTCTTTCACATGTAAAAGGCATTTGCTTTAGTTAACTTAGTACTTTTTCCCATTCTTTGTGTGGGCTGAATTCTTTTTCCCCCTAAAATCTGTTTTTTTGTTCTCCAAACAATATCCGCCATAGCTGCATCCTATTTTGAAGGGGAAGTAGGAGGTCTATCAACAGGTTTTGACCAGGATGTTTCAGTCAATGGCTTCTTTCTTCACAAAAACTCTGTTTAAAAAGAGAGGAAGAGTGAAACTGGACCCTCAAATCGACTTTTCCACACTCAAGATAAACTCTGCCAAAATTTATCTGTAAATGTGAAGTGTCTGTATGAATATCAATAGGTCTCAAGTAAATAAAGTGAACACTGATGCCTAATTTATAAATATAATTTCTATAAATCAATATGTAAACAAACAAGTAAAACCTTTTATGATAATTTTTTCTTGTAGAGATTCTTAAAGTACATCTCTCACTAGTAGCTCCTTTACTGCTAGCATGTGGATTTCAGGATTTGGATCAATGGAATAATTTTTAACAGAGATGGTCTGTCAATGAATCACCTCCTACCCCCATTCTACTCTATTTCCCCTCTGAATACCTTTGAACTGGTTTAGCCCATACAGGTAAGTCCTTTTAGTTTACCTCCTCCTGCCTGCTCCTCACCCTTAGCAGATACCACTCTGGTTGAAACACTTTGGGTGGTGACAACAGAAGGACTCAAGGGCAGTGGTGAGCGAAGCCTTGTTTGCTCCAGTCCTGTTTCAGTTTCATGCATGACAGAATGCTGGATGGGTAGGGTTCCCATGGCTGCATACAAACAGCTCATATGCCTTCCAGAATAAATAGTCCCCTGCTTGGAAAATAAAGAGCTTTGGGTACCATTATCCTCACATGATGCCTCTCCTGCTGGCATCATGGGGTTCTGTAACAGCTATCTTTATAGCAACCATTTCCCTGACCTTGATTTGAAAAATATTGTAAAGAGATGCTGGACCAGATTGTTGAGAAAAAACAAAAAAACTGACACTTAAAAATACATCTTTTATCACCTAAAAATAGTGTTAAAACCTGGATTTTAGAGAATAAACAAAGTCATGGTATTTACGTAGTAGTTTATACTGAGTTATTGGTTTCAAAGTTTCTGGCTGATATATGAAACCTGCGAAGGCCATTTTTTACATCAAACAAATAGAAAACTAAGTTCAGAATGAGTCAACATTTATTAAACTGCTTTACATGCTAAGCTGTGACCTCCATGGCACTAGGGAGCTTCAAGCTGATGCGTCTTCCAAACTCTTCCCACACACGGCTGCCATTACTCTCTGTTCACAGCAAGACCTGAAACTAACCATTCTGACTGGACTACTGCAATATCTTCCTCCTCGTTCTGGACTCCATCCTACATCCAGCAGCAGTATTTCTTAAGCTTAATTTTGATTATATCACTCTTATTCAAAAGTTTATGACAACACCGAACACATCAAAGTCAAACTGTTAACATATCTAGAGCCATACTCTCTGTCACCAGCAATAAATATTTTAACACCCACTGTTTTGGTTTACATACACTATTGTCACTGAAAGCCCCTTGCTGTGGACGCTGCCTCTTCCTCTTTAAGCCTTCCTCAGCCTTTACAATGTCTTCAGAGGGCTCTATCCTACCATGAAAATGAAGCTTAAAATTTATTTCTAAGTCCTGCCCCAATGAATTGGCATCTAGTTTCTAGGACTCCAGTCATGTCTGAAGCCTCTTCAAATGCACATAGTTTTGGTCCATTTCACTGATTAAAAAATTACAGCATTCTTTATAATATATAATTCTTTATATATTTAAAATAATATATGATTTTTTATAATTTCTCTTTCCATATCTGCTCATATTTCTAAGTTGGCTGTAACAACTGTGACGAGTCCAGGAACTAGAAGTTTGGAGGTTCGGGCCCTATTTCCCCTCCAAGTCTGGATGTGACTTTCCACCATCTCTCAGGCATGGGCCTACTTTCTCACGTTGCTCCCCGGGATGCCTTCTCTCAGCCGCCCTGACCCCCGGGGTGTCTCCTGCTTTTGCTAGTCACTGATGTTGTCCTTGGTACTAAGGTCAGGCAGAATCCACCTTCCTCTCCACCCTTGGGGAAGTACGTGTGTATGTGGGGAGGTGAAGGGGTAGTAATAGAGGAGACTTATAAAAAAACTTCTTAGGACAATAAAAGAATGTATAAACTACACACTAATAAACTTTATCAAAATATACTGATTTAACAAACACTTACTGAGCAGCTACTATGTGTCGTTCTTCACCTAGCAAAGTACCCAAAACAAAAAGAAAGACTATGACTATGAAATTATGTTTTTTTAAAGTGATCATAGAAAGTGCCTTGAGTGTTTCTTACTATCTGGAATAATTTTGGATAACAAAGCCTCAGAAAAACTTCAGCATGTATTAGAATTCATGCTTATATTTGCTAGAAGTCAAATGGCTGGCTACAGCGCATATCTTTTAAAAAAATGTTTTAGTTAATGGAAACCAGGAATAAGGAAATAAAAAGATAATATTTTTTCTCTCAAGAAGAAAATAATATATTTAGTTGTGCGCAAAATAAAGGTGTATTCTTATTATTGGTAAACCTGCCATTCAAAGGCAGTATATCAAAGAGATATTTAATTCGATTTTATAGTCTTTCATGTTTGAATTAAAATGCAAAGTGAATAATAATGTTTTTCAAACAAGATCACATGTGTTTTTCTTATTTATTTGTTTTTTTCAGGTAAACTTTGTAGTGAGAGGTTTCTGAGTGACCATCATGAGACTGCTTCCCTCCCCACACCCAGCCAAATTTAATTTTCTTATTGATGTCAGGAATCCAAAATTTCTGTGTCACATATTTCCCATGTCAACAGTACAATCCATAGCAAGCACCTGGAAAAGACGGCATTTCCCTCAGGGAACACAGAAAACCGCCAAGATTGTGATGTTTCCATGGATTAGGAACTGTTCGCATTGCACTATTTGATATGAACAAGCTACAATTACCACAGAGCTATAGTTTATAATTTACTTTTCAGCAGCATACTCTTTTCCAAAGAAAATTTCCATAGCATCCTAACATATGAGACACATAAAAGGAAGCAGGGAAGGGTGAGCAGACTGAGGATCCCGCCCATTTGGCGGCACCCTTACTCATTTTCACAGTCTTCTCTCTGCATCCAGCCCTGCCAGACCCGGTTCACCTTCAACAGCCCCAAGGCACCCAGGGGAGGCCTCCAGTTCTGCACCCGCTGTTAAGCAACCACTGATGTACAGCAATCAGGTTGTTGAAAATCTTTGGTCTTATTTTGAAACCTTGTTTCAAACAATTCAGAAGACCTCAGAAAGCTTACAGGGAATTCTTAGTGTTCATTCACCTTAGAGGAGATTTAATTCTAAGCACACAGAGCTTATTTTAAAAGTGATGTTCAATCTCATGCAATGCAAAACTTGTTGTCCTTACAGACTTTGATTTTGCTCTGGTCAGTTCTTACATGCTATAGAAACATTCCCAAAGTTGAGAAGTAGCTCTTCTGTGATACTATGGACAGTAGGTCAGATCTGTTTACTTGATGGCTTTGTATTAAGCACAAAGAAAAGCCAGTGATAAGAGGAAAAAGATGTCACACTGACTTCCTCAGGTAAACCAGAAGTCAAGTAGCATCAGACTTCCACTCCTGGCTGAGGACTACATGAGAAGAGAAGGGCTAGAAGGCCGAGGAAACATTTCTTCACTTAGTATCACAGACTAATTTTTAACTAGTGAAGGTACGGAAGCTAAAGGAGATAGCAGACTCTGGGATGGCGCTGTCCAGCAGAAACATAATGTGAGACACATATCTCATTTTTAATTTTCTACTAGCAATATTTAAAAAACTAAAAATTAATTTTAATAACATATTTAATTTTATCTGTTCAAAATATTATCATTTCAATATGTAATCAACAAAAATTACTGAGCTATTTTACTTTCTTTGTAAGTAAGTCTTTAAAATTTGGTATGCATTTTTTCATTTGTAGCACATCTCAGTTCAAACTAGCTGCATTTCAGGTGTTAAACAGCCACAGCTAGTTTGAAAAATTGAAAGAGTCACTTAGCAGGGGAAAAATACAATGTGGATAACAGCCTTAGCAGAATGAATAGCTGAAATGAGGAACTGAGAACAATTTCTTAAAAACGGTCAGTGGTCTTGCTACTGAGAGGGAGGGACTGAGAAATAAGACACAGTTAAGTCTAAAATAGTCTTTAGGGTGATACATAGCAAAAGCTGCAATAGGAAAACTCTGATTATTAAAAAAAATATATTCAAAAGTCCTGGTATAATGAAAAAATAGAAATGTTACCAAAAATGGCAAATGTATTTCCTTCTAAAAACACATAAAGAAATAAGATCTTTATTCATCAAAATGTGATGACTTAGGTTGGTCCCATAATTTCCTGACTTTCTTGTTATATTTCTCATCATCCCTGTGAAGATGATTTTCAGATAGCAACTCTCTTTTCTGAAACTCTAAGAAAGAAAGTTTCTGGACTAGTAGCGTAAGGTCCCAAAATTGCATCTCAATAAGCAATCCTGTTGTCTTAACCCAACTCCTGAAGATATACTATGAAACACTTCCTCTTTCTCAAACTGGATTGAAATTAGTTAAACAATGAAAACTATCCAGGTCAGTGATGATCTCGTTCTCTGTTTTCTTGTGTTTTCTTTCTGCTTTCAAATGTACAGACATTTCAGTGATTGTCATCACCTCCAGAGAAGAGAGGAGACACACAGAAAAAGGGGGATTAGGGAGAGCTTTTGTGGGAAAATGTTTAGTGGAAAAGCAGTTTGTAACTATGGTATAATCTCAAATACTTTAAAACTAAAACTTTTAAAACATCAGCCCTTTCTATTATACTATCATGAAATATTAATAATTGAACTTATATATTTAACATGAATATTATACTTCTTTATAGGGAAACCATTTCCCAATGTCACCTTTACCTTCTGGCATTAGTTCCGGGCGCGGGGAGGTTGGTAGAACTGCTGGGTTGGCCGAGTGGATCTTCTTGGCTGGCCATCACCTCCTCTGCGGAACTCCAGGGTTTGGTCATAGGTGCCTTCATCCTCCTATTTACAACGAGTAGTGATTTAACATGTTCAAAACAGCTTCAAGTATCCTAAGTCAAACACACTTCATGGTGTCAATTTTGATAAACCCTTTTAAGCTGCCCTGGAATTCACATCTGTCAACTTTCAGAACAGAGGGAGGCAAGGGGGGAATGAAAGGTGGGGACACTGTTAACATTCTTTTGATCCTTGGTAATATAAGAATAAAACTTAGAGTGGTAAGATTAAAATCAAATTTAATTCTGGAAAAGGAAACTATTTCCACATAATGGCATGATTACCTCACTAAATGATACTATGGTATGAAAACACAGAAAAACAAGCATTATAATAATTTTTTTCTTGAATATTTGGGCTTTTAAATATTTCTAGGTATTTGTCATGGGAAGGGCTCTTGGTAAGATATGGAAAAGGGGTTGAAGAGCCTAGAATGTTCACCAGCTGTCTGCCCTCATCTGATAAAATCTTCAATATTGTTAAGAACCTTACATCTAGAGACAGGAAAAAATAATGGATTGAAATGAGGAGGGAAGTACAATTTACAGATATAGAAAGCTTCATGCAAGACACAGCAATCACCATAAAAAGGCACAAACTATTTTCTCCTCATTTTCTTTCTTGCTGAAGGGACAGATCTACCAGCTCAAGAAATAGCACAGGGAAATTAGGATAAGCAGATTAAACAGCAAGAAGAATATAGGTAAGTTTAGTATTTGAAAAGAACTTAGAAGCAACAGAAACGTAGCCAAAGGCACACTGGTTTCTTCCTGAGTACTGCCACCTTGCTGTTTCAGTGTTTTTAAATTAATGTAGCTATGAAGTATGCTCCATCATAGAGACAGAAAAAAGTGGCTCTAAGTTTTGTTTAAAGCAACAGCATCTATGTTAAAAGTAGACTTTAAATTCCACCTGAATTAGCAGAGCACAGAAATTTGCAAGACTTTGGAAATTTATCTGTTTCTTACTCCTTTTCTCTTCATTTTGAATCTTCTTTCCTGAAAGATTACTTTCTGTTGACCATATTAATAGCACAGGAGGTTATATGAAGGACTGAGTTCTATAAATTTTACAAATTCAACTATCGGAATTTTACCTGATAGAGGCAGATAGATAGCACTTAATGAGAATCGCTTTCTGTTTTATATAATACATAGTTCAAACATAATCAAATCCTATTATTTAGAAATGAGATTTCATATTTGGCACAAACATAACTCTCATTATTAAGCACCTTCCATGGTATTTCTAACCATTATTTCCATTTTATATATGGGACACTGAAGTCCCCTTTTTCACAAGAAAGTTTTGTGGCATTGCCTTAATACTTCTAAGGCAATCCTGGGTTTTGATTCAAACACTACTGCTTAAATCTTTCAGTCTCAGTCTGCATGTAAAAGAAATAAACCAATAGTGAGAAATTAATGATCATCTGTCAGGAGTCATCATCACCTAAATAAGAGAATGGAGAAATCTAACAATGTATTTGGCGTAACTCAATAACTACATTTTAGAGATAAACTTCAAGGTTAGCTCTCCTTTCTCTCCACACCTTTAACAACAATCAATCTCAAAATGGTTAGAAGCATAAGACATTACGTCTATAATTTAGTAAAGCAATTAAAAATCCAAGAAGAAAAATTGACAAGTGTTTAGGAAAAGAGAGAATTATTTTTTATTATTCTGGTCACTGTTTGGAATGATGACTGTCAAATATAGCTAAATTTGAAAAGGAGCTATTTAATTTTATGACATATGAACATTTATGACACAAAAACATTTGAGGCTTTGCATATTAACAGAGAAGGATGAAAATATATTTGCTGCTGTAGGAGATGAAGTAATTATTTCAGAAATTAGAATGTAATGTTATTTTTTTTCCACACCCAGCTGCAGAACTGCCTAGAGGGCATCTAAAAACGTATACTTTTTCAATAAAATATGCTGTTAAAGGGGGACACTACATTTCCTGAGTGAGTGAACTGGGTTTATATAATATGACACTGCTATTCGAAAAGCTGTTTCTACTGTGTTTAAAAGATTCAGACTATTAGCTAGAGCCAATTAGATGGTTTTACAGAGATGACCAACCATGAGATTTCTTTCCATTATTTGATGTCTTTGTAATCTTTTTATACAAAACAGAGAGGTAAAAAATAAAAATGGTTTTGACAGTTTGGTTTTCAGTTACTGTCAAAGACACAATCTTGCTTTTTGTTAACTTTTAAATACTTTTCGTGTGGAGTAATTGAGGGCAAATCTGATTACCTACAAAAATTACTTCCTATATTCTACTGCTACTAACTTTAACATTGAGTACCCCTTTCCATTTTATATAATACACAGCTTAATGTAATAGATAAGTTTATTAGGAGTTATCTTTGAATGAAATTTATACCTTGTTCTTCCTTCTATTTTCTTTTAAAACTCTGGCACTGTGAGCTGGCACAATCCTGGATGGCCATCTGGTCTGTCCCCCTAGACTTGACAGATGAGGAGTCTCTAAACTCAGACAGGTGAAGTGATTTTCCTGTGTCACAGAGGTCACAAGAGGAAGAGTCCAGAACAGCACCACTTTGCTTCTGACCCTCAGGCGAGCCTCTTTAAGGCCTGTGATGACTTTCACAAAATGGCAATGACCAATGTCATCTTTACCTAAGCTTCTGAGATTTAGAACCACTTAATTGGGACTCAGGTTTTTGCTCACCTGTTTGCAGGTGGGTATGGAGCCATGCTGTCAGATAACACCTGGTTTTAACTAAATAACTAATATTCAAAATGCACCCTCTTTTCATGCCAGTATTTACTAATTCACTGCTCCTTTTAATGAAAGGATACAAAATGCAATAATCATTGTGATACTAAGCATGAATGCAGTGATATTTTGGGAAAGAAAAAAGTCACAGCACCAAGGCAAAAAGGAGATGTCTAACTTCATCTATAAAACACATTTGACAGGTCACATCTTTCCTACATATCACCTTTAGTCTCTCATTAGCACATACTATATCTGCAATTAGAACAGAGACAAATACATACTCCCTCATTTATAAATGAGCTGTGTTACAACGGCCCATAATAAACCATTATTTGGAACTGGAACATTGTTCAGTAAGAGATGTGAAACACATTTAAATAGAGGTCAGGTTTCTGTTTTGCAAAAAGTAAGGTGAAGCACAGCTAAGCATGAAAGCCAGTACTATAAGGAAGATTCTAGATCAGCGGTTCTTAACTGGGAGTGATTTTGCCCCCCAAGAGGCATTAGCTAATGTCTGGAGACATTTTTGGTTGTTACAAACTGAGGGGAGGTAGGGAGTGAGATGTGTTACTCCATCTAATGCGTAGAGACCAAGGATGCTGCTAAATTTCCTATGATACGCAAAGCAGCCCAACAGCAAAGAATTATCCAGGCCAGGAGGGCCAGTACTGGGAAGCCCTGGGCTAGGCAAATACGGAGGAAGAAACTTTCTACTCCTAAGTGTCAGGACAGACTGAAAAATAATGCTGAAATTCAGGAGGTTTAGGTTTGCCACCATTTCCCTTCTTCTTTTTGGACATTTTTTGTTCATCTGCCTCTACTTCTAAGGCCTAAATGCTAACCCAACCATTAATGGAACTTTTGAAGAGAGCTCTACTGGCTGACAATGCTATGTTTCCTCTGCTCCAGCTCATGTTCATATTTATGTAACCTAACTGCCTCATCTTAAATTACCATTCTTTCTGCATTCTCTTGCAGCTATAACACTGTGAGGAGACAATGAGAGATGATTTGCTTGGAATGCCAGACTATAAAAGAAGTTTCTGTAAAGAAGAGTTAGTCCGAATAACTAAGTAGCTATTATTTGCTCAAGTAATTAAGCAACATACCCTGAGCAAGAAAGAACATAGGTCTTCTGATTCACAGTCCCGTTTGCCCTTCACTATGCTTCCAGGCAAAGAAGGCAAGGAATACAGATGTAAGTAATTTCACAACTGGAAGGGGAATTGGAGATAATCTAACTGAGCAGATTTAAATCTTCAAAAAATTATCATTATTATTATTTTTTGGGGGGGGCAAATGTCATACTCTTCTTTCAAATGAAATTTTATACAGAATTACAATATAAAATAGATGGGCATAGGTTAAAGTGGGTGTTTTTATGCATGCATGTGATCAGTATCTCCTTGATTAATATAAGCAAGCAAGGTCTAGAAGAACCAGAACTGGAATGCATGCCTCCCACTGAGCTCAGAGCCCTTTCACCTTTGCCTTCTATCACAAGAGAGACTCTAAACCTGTTTTTGACTTCTATGAATTAAATATCTCATTTAATAATAAAAACTCATTTTCTACATGTAAATGGGGGAAAAAAAAGCCTCAGCCTTTATTCACATATGAGAAGTTATTATATATAAGCAAAATAAGTATATTTTATGATAAGAGTTACCTGTTTTTGAAAATTTGAGTAAATTGATACCACTTTAGAATAAAATATAATGGGGAATTATAGTCTTCCTTCCCTAGAGCAGGCTGTAAGATCATCTCTTTAAATATACCAAAGTCCAGTAATATTTTATTTAAAACAAGTTTACAGCAGAAAACTGATGCAAAAAAAAAAAACTGATTCAAAATCTTATTACAAAACAACTGTTCCAAAATGCATGGCTGGCACAACACAAAGTTTCAATGCTGTATCCTGCAAAATTCAGAACTGGGAGACATTTCACTGTGGTTCCGATCTATTTTTTAGAAAAGAGTGTTTTCTACAGTGATAAAAAAAAAATGGAAATTGTTGGTGATTCCCTAAGATATTAGGAAATCGCCTGAACACCTAAGCTCAAAGGTTTTATTCTACGTCTGCAACTAAAGCAATGACCTAAACAAGACACAAATCTTTCACAGGGATGAAAACTCGATGTTTAAATGGCAGTCAAAGCAAATACAGTACTATTCATCATTGTCCTTTCCTCCAATATTATTAAGATCCTCTGCTCCTTCAAACAAAGTAAACAAGCATTCTTGA